GAAACACGCCTAGATGCCCCGTTTTCAAAACGTAGACGAATTTCATGGCACCAATCGACAAGAGTCTGTTTTTCGCTTTCGGAGAGCAAACGAGGGATCCATCGACAACAAAGCTTTCTCACTCCAAGACGTTGATGTAGGATGGTATGAATGCCACCCGAATTAATGCCTAAAATCTTTTCGATGTCCGTATATATGATTCGTGGGTCCTTCTCGCACCAATATTTCAGTAGTCTATACATTTTCTGCCGTTACTGCTGTTTGCGGAGCCCCGGTTATTTGGTCATCTTTAAGATTAATTTTACCCGAATATATTACTCGAATTTACCTCACAATTAAATGTCATGCTAATTAACATGTATTTTATTTCACTAGTGTGTTTATGTAATTAGACATTGTTTATGTGTAATTTTTAAAATGTAAAAAGGAGATCATAGTGACAATAAGCACCTTCTTGCCAGTTACATTTGGGAGTTAGGTAATTAAATAACAAACTATTATTTATTTACCAACCAAAACTTTTAAAATAACAATATGTTATGTTAAATATACACTGTTCCTTTTTTATATGGGTACTAATCATATTATAGTAGAGCTGTAAGTGTAGAAATTGCAATTTTAGGTTTAATTCTTTAATTACTCGAAACAATGAGAATGTTAATGAGCTCCTTCTTTTCCTGTGCCCTTCAGATATTTAGAGGTTGTGTTTTATTTTTATTAAACATTACTAAGTTATTGCTAATGTAAGCAGTTCAGTCTTAGCCTAGAATTTAAACGGTAAATAAAACTCAGGTTCTGATTAGGTATTTGTGTTATTCATACCAAATAAATGAAACTACACTCTCATTTGGTTAGTCCCTGATTCAAGCCAGGTAGGTCGCTAAGGAAGAGCATCGATATCCGTTGTTCAAGCCGAGTCATAATTTATAAAAACTTATCGCTTAGCAAACCAACTGCACAATACACTTAGATTCCGAAAACATTTGCAGAAATGTATTTTTTCAAACGAAACAAAAACGATCGCACGTCAAACGTATATCTATTTTAACGTATTATCATCTATCAACGTTATTGACGTGTTTTTTTGCGTGGCACAATGCTGATTTGGCCAATGAACGTACAATAGTATTGTTATTTTAAATGAAAACAGATGATTTCACTGTACCCCAGTTCCTTGTGGCATATATGATTCTGAGAAATATTTTAAAATATAAACATTTTCATAATATATTTGGGTTTATGACAACTTTCGAAACATGTGAGTGAAGGTATTATGTGACTGGCCAAATCACATGAGCCCATAAACGCAGCACATTAGTAGTAAAAAAATCAACAAAGTTCAAAATCTAAAAAATCTTTTTTATTTTGATTTCACAATTCAGAAGTGTCCGTTACTATCTAATGAATGTTATCTAATGCATAATTAAGGATAAGAATTTTGGTAATTGGCATAGGTGTGACATGGACATTGAACATGATCTTTGTTTTGTCCATGTTCATCTTAAGACCTATCCGTTGGGAAACAATATCGAGGTCATTGAGCATAGCGCTTAGGTCCTCTAGCGATTCTGCCATAAGGACTATATCGTCGGCAAATCGAAGGTGAGTGATGTACGCGCCATTGATATTGATACCGTATCCTTTCCAGTCCAGAAGCTTGAAAACGTCTTCCAATGCAGCGGTGAAGAGTTTCGGGGATATGACGTTACCCTGTCTTACACCTCTCTTCAATTGGATAGGTTTTGTACTCTGGTTCTGTACTCGGATAGCCATCGTAGCCCTACTGTACAAGCACTTCAACACTTCGATATACCGACAGTCAACTTGGCACCGCTGAAGGGACTGCAGCACCGCCCAAATTTCGACGGAATCAAAGGCTTTCTCATAGTCCACATACGCCAGACATAGTGGCAAATTGTACTCTTCGGACTTCTGTACAATTTGCCGAAGGGTATGTATGTGGTCTATGGTGCTAAAGCCCTTTCGGAAACCGGCTTGTTCGGGAGGCTGGAAGTCGTCAAGTCTGCGCGCGAGACGATTCGTAATGACTCTCGAAAACAGCACGTAGACGGGGCTCAGAAGGGAAATCGGTCTGTAGTTCTTCAAGAGAGCGTTGTCACCTTTCTTGAAGAACAAGACCACCGCACTTCTGCTCCACGCCTCCGGTGTAATGCCACCATGGAGGACGGAATTACAGAGCTTCTGAAGGACTTCAAGTATCGGTCTTCCACCTGCTTTCAGAAGCTCCGCTGTAATTCCATCCTCGCCTGGGGCCTTACCGTTTTTAAGGTGCTGGAGAGCCATTCTAATCTCGCTCAGACTGACGTCTGGCATATCTTCGGAATAGTGTCGGATGAGACTCGCTCTTGGATCGTTACTCACACTTGCGTGTGGCTCCAACGATGACGTGTACAGCTGCCCATAGAACCTCTCAATCTCACTCAAAATCTCAGGTGTCCCGGAAACGATGCTGCCACATTCTGTCTTCAGCTTTGACAGGTGGCTCTTTCTGGCAGACAGATCTCTGGCAAAGACTTTGGAGCCTTGGTTCCGCTCGATCGCTTCTTCAATACGAGCTGTATTGAAGTTGCGTAAGTCCCGCCGCATGCATTTGGAGATCTGTCTGTTCAGATGCCTGTATGCTGTCAAGTCTGTTGAAGAATGTAGCTTCATCTCCCGTCTAACAGCCATGAGATTAAGAGTGTGATCGGAGAGTTTTTGTGTTCTTCTGCGGCGGGTCTTGCAGAACTTAGCTCCGACCGCATGGACAGTTTCCACGAGCTTGTCATTCAAATCGTTCACTTCATTGCAGTCTTCTAGGCACTGAAAACTGTTTTGTAACTCGAGCTGAAAGGTTTCGGGACTTTGGAACAGAGCAAGAGGGGGACGGAGCGTTGACTTCATTAGACTAGACCTCTCCAACTTAACGTTTAGGTTCAGTGTGCCTCTAACCATTCGGTGATCGCTACCAGTTTTCACCCTCGCGATCACGGAGACATCACTGAACAGTTGTCGTCTGGTCGTCATAATGAAGTCAATCTCATTTTTTGTCGAACCGTCGGGGCTCGACCAGGTCCACTTCCTGTGGGGCCGCTTCTGGAAGAAAGAGTTCATCATAAAGAGTCCCTCTTTCTATATGAAGTCGGCCAGCTGCTGGCCCCTTGGGTTCCGTTGCCCTATTCCAAATTTCCCTACTTTCAGCTCACCGTTCTCTCTTGTGCCTAGTTTTGCATTGAAGTCTCCCATTAACACCATATATTGGGTTTTGGAGGAATGCATGGCTCTAGAGATATCCTCATACATTTCCTCCACCTCCCCATCGGGGTGTGCCGAGGTTGGTGCGTAAACCTGTATGACCTTCAGCGAATACCGGTGATTCTAAGTATAAGGTACGCAACCCTCGTCGACACACTCCCGATCTTTACAACGTTGTTAACGAGAGACTTGTGGACGATAAATCCGACACCTCCTTGGGACAGATGGTCGCCCTCCCGGTGATAGAGCAAGTTGCCGGATTCGAGGATTACCGTGTCCACCCCCTCTCTTCGGACTTTGGATAATCCTATAATATGCCAGCGCAACTTGTCTATCTCTTCTTCCAGCTCCACGATCTTCTCGTCAGTACTCAGGGTGCGTGCGTTGTACGTTGGTCTCTTGGTTATTTTCATGGGGGGTATATTGCCATAGTAGCCACGCTTGGCGAGCGGGTTGGCAACCGCAGTTTTTTTATTATAATTTTGGCTATTATCAAGAAGATGCTGCTGCCCATCTCCGCCTGTTTCCCTTTGTCGGCTTTTACGACACCCACGGGAGGATATGGGGTAGTGGTATTCTTGACCGCCACTACACGGCAAAAAATTAATCATGGGCTCCAATATAACAAAAAACGTACATTTAAAAATTTAAATAAAATATAAAAAAATTACATTTAGAAAAATAAGAACTCATAAGTAAATTATTTAATTAGATAAGAAAGCAAAATAAATATTTAAAGTAAAATTAAGTAAGTATTTATTAATTTTATAACGTACAAACACAGTACATATACCTATTTGGTTTTATTTGGATTTAAGATGAGTTCTTTAATATTCGCCCATTCAGAGAACTGACTTAAATCCCTAAGAAGTTTGCTGACTGCCTAATTTATATCATCCGGCCTGAATAATATGTAGAGTTGAAGGTCGTTGGCAAATAATACTGGCAATATTTAAAACAGCCTTTAATATCGGCACTGTAGAGGATAAACAGCAATGGACCTAAAGTTGACCCAGTGGATCGTATATGAGATGTATATTTTGCTTTTTATACAAAATTATTGTCTAGAACGCTAGGGTCTATATTCGTATAGCATGTGACTCGGAAAAGAAACTACGTGTTTATGTTATGACCGTTTACTTGAGACTAAAATGCATACAATGCAGTTAATGTCACCTTGAGCCCTTGACATACCGGCCGCCAAAAACAACTGTTTTTAAATACATTATGTATACATAATCATAACCGTCTTAGTTCACAAATATGAAAATAACTTGCAAAACATGACAACATGTATTCAAGCATCTAAGAAGTAAACATAAATGTGTTTATTTACAATCCATAATAGTATACATAGGTAGAAAAAAAACATAAGCAGCTTACTTACGTGAATTACTAACTAGATAATAGGTACACATGAAGTAATGAACTTAATTTAAAATTCCTAAGTAACCACTTTTATAACAATTTGTTCGCAACTATAAATAGCTAATGTTACATATCTTTAGTGGACTGTATTATATTATATGATTTAATCAGCTATGTAGGAACAAACTGTAAACATTTTTTGTGTAAATAAATTATATTGTAAAACTTCACTTAATTGACATAATGTATTACTTATTGTGTGTATATAAACCAAACTTAAATTTTACATGTAAATATAATATAATGTGTTAAGTAAATATAAAAATCTGAATTAGCTGATCACCATGTGCAAGACTCCCCCTTTTTATATATATTTTTCAATAGGGCTCAGGTTTAATAGGAAGTAAAATTAGTTTTGAAAGTGGCCGCTTCATCACAACATTTCCCTTGCACCTTACAGAAACAACTCGAACCAATTTGTCTGAACCTGGGTGTAAGGTGATTATTTTTCCTAAAAGCCACTTACATGGAGGTAGATCTTCTTCCTTTATTATGACTATATCCCCAATGGATGGGGATCGTACAACCCTTTGCCACTTATATCTTTGTTGTAAGGTTTGTAAATAATCTGCTTGCCATCTTCTCCAAAAATTTTGAATTCTGTTTTGAATGAACTGCCATCGTGTCAACAGATTAACGTTTTTATTAACATAATCGTTTTCAGGGAGACCAATTAGTGGCTCACCGATCAGAAAATGTCCTGGTGTTAATGGGTCAAGAGTCTCCAGCGTATCATCCATTTGACACAGAGGCCGTGAATTGAGGCATGCTTCAATTTGAGCCAATAATGTCGTCATCTCCTCGTAAGTCAACCTAGTTGCACCACTTATTCTAGAAAGATGCTGTTTGGCGGACTTCACACCGGCCTCCCATAAACCGCCGAAATTTGGAGCTTTGGGTGGTATAAAGTGCCAAGTGGTGCCGTCGTTGGCTAAAAGTTCAGCTATTTCTTTAGCCATGTTGTTCTTACCAACTTCAAACATACGTCTCAGTTCTTTTGCAGCGCCTACAAAATTAGTGCCGTTGTCACTCCACAAATGTGAACAATGGCCTCGTCTTGCGACAAATCTTCGAAAAGCTGCAATAAATGCTTGCGAAGTAAGGTCGGTGACACATTCCAAATGTATTGCCTTAGTCGACATACACACGAAAAGACAAATGTAGCCCTTTGAAGACTTATGACCTCGACCCTTTGATGTCCTTACTTGTATAGGGCCTGCATAATCTACACCACTGCTGGAGAACGCACGAGATGGAGTCACCCTCGGTGCAGGCAATTGTCCCATCAGCTGTTGCTTCGTTTCAGCCTTGTCTCTTATGCATGTTGTACAATTACGGATAAATCCTCTTACAGCTGACTTTAGGTTGATGACCCAAAACTTGCGTCTTATAAAGGCCATCGTTTGCAGTACGCCCCCGTGTAAGGTTTTTGCATGACCGTCGTTTATTATAAGTCTGGTAACATGTTGCTTTGCTGGTATGATAATTGGGTGCTTAGTATTCGTCGATAAAAACTCTGCATTATTCAATCGTCCTGCAACCCTCAACAATCCATGTTCATCTAAGTAGGGTGTCAAATTGGCCAATGAGCTTCCACTTCGCACTCTTCCGTCCTTTTTTAAGCACTCTACCTCTTGTCTATACATTTGTCCTTGATAAAATTTAACGCATCTTGTTTCTATTAAATTCATTTCATCAACTGTTAAGAACTTTTCCTTTTTGCCTTTGTTCGGCAATAACCTTCTGCAGTATGCTAAAACTCGTTTCATTTTTGACAACGAAGAAAATCTTTGCCAAATCGGTTCTCCTTCAAAATAACTATGAAATGCGTTCTTGCTTTCTAATTCTGTTTGAGGAATTTCCAATCTGTCCTTTTCTATTTGTATTTGTTTAAGCCAGTCGGGACCAGACCACCAAATATCTTGATTAGCCAAATCATGCGCTTTAATTCCTCTTGTTGCTAGATCAGCCGGGTTGTCAGAAGATTGTACGTAGTTCCAGTGATTGTTGTCTAATACCCGTGTTATCTCAGCCACCCTATTTGCTACGAATGTTCGCCACCGGCTTGGTTCCGATTGTAACCATGATAGAACTACCGTTGAGTCGGACCAAGCAAAAATTTTTTCTTTACGGATGGACAATAGATCAACAACATCACTCATGAGTTCTGTTAGTAAAGCTGCCGCACATAATTCCAATTTAGGAACAGATATTTGCTTCAAAGGTGCAACCTTAGTCCTCGATGCGATTATCATAACATGTATTGACGCGTTATTAATTACCTTGAGATAGACAACCGCAGCGTATGTGTTTACTGATGCATCTGCAAATCCATGTATTTCCATGTCTTTCAAGTTTTGCGCCGTTGTATTAAACCACCGTGGTAAAGAAATGTGTTGTAAATGAATCAGCTCTTTCCTATATCTCAACCAGTCTTCAATCAAATGTGGCGGTAATACATCATCCCAACCTAAATTACAGATCCATAATTTTTGTATTAATATTTTTGCTGATATTACTACTGGAGACAACCAACCAAATGGGTCGAATAGGCGAGCTACATCGGAAAGGACTGATCTCTTTGTTATGGGACCCTCTACTTCAGGTAAGTTTACAGTTATTTTAAATCTATCATCTTTTCTATCCCATGTCAAACCTAAAATTTTTATAACCTTGTCTAGTTTTATATCTAATTTTTCTTTCATAGTACATTCCCTCTCTTGTAAAAAATCTAATAATTCGTCACAATTGCTGGACCATTTTTGCATTTCGAATCCCCCCTTTCTTAGTATCATTTTAATTTCTTCGCACATAACTTTCGTTTTATCTATATCTTCATTACCAGACATTAAATCATCGACGTAAAAAGAATTTTTTATTACAGATGCAGTTTCAGGATATTCTTCCGCTTCTTCCTGAGCTAGCTGACATAATGTTCTTACGGCAAGGTAAGGTGCAGCAGCGGTGCCAAAGGTAACTCTCATTAGTTTGTAGCTCTTAACTTCTTCGCTTTCTTCGTTTCGCCACACTATACGTTGCAAGTTTGCGTGGTCTTCTGTTACCCTTACTTGCCTGTACATTTTGATTATATCACCGATCACGCAAAATTTATGTATTCTCCACCTGATGATTATACTACGAAGATCTGGTTGTAATACGGGTCCTATCATCATACAGTCATTTAATGAGAAACCACCGGTACCCTTTGCTGAGGCATCAAAGACTACTCTAATTTTTGTAGTATCTTTGTCTTCTCTGATAACTGGATGATGCGCCAGGTAGATTGCACCTTCATGATTTTCATCTTCAACTCTCATCATGTGTCCCAATCGTAAGTATTCGTGTATTACTTCCTTATATGCAATTTTTAACCTTTCATTTTTTCTAAATCTTTTTTCTAGAGACTCCAACAGCATTGGTAGACATCACATCAAGGGCAGGACAAACACATGTCTTCCGTGCACTTATTGATCAGGGATCAGAGGCTTCGTTCGTGACCGCACGAGTTGTTGACTTATTAGGCTTAAGAAGAACTAACATCAACGGCGTGGTCTCTGGTGTAGGAGGGGAAGGTAGAATATGTATCAATCACATGGCAGAATTGGTAGTTAAGTCAAAATGTGTATCAAACTTTTCTGTCAACATAAAGGTATATGTGCTTAAATCATTGACTCGTAGGTTACCGGCTAAAGAAGTAAAAATTTGTGGTTGGCCTCAGCTTAAAAGTATGAAATTAGCTGATCCCCATTTTCACACGCCGAGTAGAATAGACATTCTTCTCGGTGCTGATGTTTTTTGTAAAATAATTGGCTCAGGTTTGATAAGGGGGCCGGGTAACTTAGTCGCCCAGTACACAAACTTGGGGTGGATTTTATCAGGAAGCGTTAGCAAGTCAGCAAGTAGTTTACCGCAAATAACAAGCCTACATGTCACACGTTTGGATGATGAAACTAATAATCTACTGAGAAAGTTCTGGGAGATAGATGTTGAGCATTATAGAAGCAAGAAAATATTAACTAAAGAAGAAACTAAATGTGAAGAAATATACAAAAATACAACTACAAGAGATGAAACAGGAAGGTATGTAGTACAGTTACCGTTAAAGCAAAGTTATGAAGATACAGTAAGGATGTGTGGAGACACGAAGAAGCTGGCCATCACTCGACTGGAGTCTCTAGAAAAAAGATTTAGAAAAAATGAAAGGTTAAAAATTGCATATAAGGAAGTAATATACGAATACTTACGATTGGGACACATGATGAGAGTTGAAGATGAAAATCATGAAGGTGCAATCTACCTGGCGCATCATCCAGTTATCAGAGAAGACAAAGATACTACAAAAATTAGAGTAGTCTTTGATGCCTCAGCAAAGGGTACCGGTGGTTTCTCATTAAATGACTGTATGATGATAGGACCCGTATTACAACCAGATCTTCGTAGTATAATCATCAGGTGGAGAATACATAAATTTTGCGTGATCGGTGATATAATCAAAATGTACAGGCAAGTAAGGGTAACAGAAGACCACGCAAACTTGCAACGTATAGTGTGGCGAAACGAAGAAAGCGAAGAAGTTAAGAGCTACAAACTAATGACAGTTACCTTTGGCACCGCTGCTGCACCTTACCTTGCCGTAAGAACATTATGTCAGCTAGCTCAGGAAGAAGCGGAAGAATATCCTGAAACTGCATCTGTAATAAAAAAATCTTTTTTCTAGAGACTCCAGTCGAGTGATAGCCAGCTTCTTCGTGTCTCCACACATCCTTACTGTATCTTCATAACTTTGCTTTAACGGTAACTGTACTACATACCTTCCTGTTTCATCTCTTGTAGTTGTATTTTTGTATATTTCTTCACATTTAGTTTCTTCTTTAGTTAATATTTTCTTGCTTCTATAATGCTCAACATCTATCTCCCAGAACTTTCTCAGTAGATTATTAGTTTCATCATCCAAACGTGTGACATGTAGGCTTGTTATTTGCGGTAAACTACTTGCTGACTTGCTAACGCTTCCTGATAAAATCCACCCCAAGTTTGTGTACTGGGCGACTAAGTTACCCGGCCCCCTTATCAAACCTGAGCCAATTATTTTACAAAAAACATCAGCACCGAGAAGAATGTCTATTCTACTCGGCGTGTGAAAATGGGGATCAGCTAATTTCATACTTTTAAGCTGAGGCCAACCACAAATTTTTACTTCTTTAGCCGGTAACCTACGAGTCAATGATTTAAGCACATATGCCTTTATGTTGACAGAAAAGTTTGATACACATTTTGACTTAACTACCAATTCTGCCATGTGATTGATACATATTCTACCTTCCCCTCCTACACCAGAGACCACGCCGTTGATGTTAGTTCTTCTTAAGCCTAATAAGTCAACAACTCGTGCGGTCACGAACGAAGCCTCTGATCCCTGATCAATAAGTGCACGGAAGACATGTGTTTGTCCTGCCCTTGATGTGATGTCTACCAATGCTGTTGCCAGTAAAATCCTTTGACCAGGTTGTTCCTTAGACATATGCGCTGTTACCTTTATCTCCGTCTCATCTTGTTGCTTTGAAGTAGTTCCTTCTGTTGTCATCTTTTCATTCGTCGTCAAATGCTTTCTATCATTATGTAATAAGGAGTGATGACGTTTTTTGCAAATTTTGCAGGATATTGTGTTTTTACATTTAAATACTGTGTGATTAGGCATAAGACAATTAAAACATAAATTGTTACTCTGTACAAACTTATATCTTTCTTCTGTAGGTTGCTTCACAAATTTTTTACAGTTAAATATATAATGCTTCTCTTTACAGTAGCTACACGGCACATTTTCAGCATCAGCAGCATGAAAAGACTTTGGGTTAATAGGTTTAGTAATTTTCTTTGCAGGTTCCACCATCTCAAGAGTTCTAAACTTAGTTTCCAGGAACCCTTTTAAATGATCGAATGAAGGTAAGTCTTCTGTGCTATTCTTACCAATAGACTCCTCCCACTGTTTATGTGTAACAGTGTCCAATTTAGATACGATTACAAAATTTACAATTGCATCCCAATGTGAAGTTGGCAAACCGAGATTTTTTAACGAATTAATACATTCCACAGATGTGTCCAAGAGCTGCTTTAATAAGTTTGCTGACTCAAAAGGTAAGGGTTTTTGACTAAAAAATTTTTTAAAAATACAATTTGCTATGTACCTTTTGTTATCATAACGCCTTTTTAGCGCGGACCAGGCTTCTGCATAATTCTCTCCCGTAATAGCAAATTGTCGTAATAATACTTCAGCATCTCCCTTTAAATTGCTCTTTAGATAGTGTAACTTTTGAACGTCTTCTAGGGTATCGTTTTTATGAATAAGTGCTAAGAATAAATCGTGAAACGATTGCCATTCGGTGTAATCTCCACTAAATATAGGTATCGTAATTCTCGGCAACTTTGTATCACTTGGTTTTTGGCATAGCCTTTGTTCTAATTGTTGTGCTTTATTTTCAGTATCCGTATCTGGTTGCAATTTTTGTAAAGCATTACGTAATTCTCCTTTATATGTATAATATAATTCCTCAAAATGATCATAAACTTCATAATCGAAATAATAACAGGACTTTCTTTCTTCCTTCGATGTTTCTTGTATGATTTTTTGATGCAAACACTTAAAATCTTTCCAATAAACTTCTAAGGAATCTAATCTAGACGTTACATAGCCTACTGTAATTCTTTCCTTTGGTGCCTTTTTAAAATTTGCATAAGCCCTTTGTATATTCTCATAACTATCACATTGAACCTTCATTCGTTTTTCTGCAGAATCCATTTTCGTTAAAATAAATGTTTGTGTTGCTCTTTAATATTAATGTTCTTAAATTTTATAACAAACTAACAACAGTCAACCGAAAGTTATGTATTCGTGGGTATAAAAAAATAGTTCAAAGTTCAAGCGTCCGAACGAAATAGTTTCTCACAACCTTTGCTTATTTCTCTCACTAACTACTTTATAAATCTCTGCGTTTGTTAACTATACTGTTCAACACACTTCAATCGTAAATCGTTAATGAATGTTTTTAATACATACCACTAATCTCACAGTTCCTTACGTATATATTGTTCATAATAAACCACAACTAACACTATTTTGTTCGTTTCATATATTTTGTCCATTTATTTACAGTAAAAGTAGCTTAACGTTTATTCACTCCTTAAATATTTTCACTTTTAATGTCTTTTTCACAAATCCGGATCGTTTGGACCATATGTCTTGAACGCTAGGGTCTATATTCGTATAGCATGTGACTCGGAAAAGAAACTACGTGTTTATGTTATGACCGTTTACTTGAGACTAAAATGCATACAATGCAGTTAATGTCACCTTGAGCCCTTGATAATTATTAAACGAAATACATAAATAACTTTATAAACTTTCATTTTTTTCAGAGAAGTAGCCAGAGACTACGGACTTCTATTTTGCACAAATCTGACATTCTTCTTTCGCTTCTTTAAAATAATATACATTACATTACATAACATAGTATATATTACATTATATTATATATGCTCGTCGGGCAAGATTACTCTAAATTTAGCCCATCAATATAGGTATCGCCAATTTGGTCGATAAACTTACGTTTCCGATCCTAACACTCATTGTTCGCGCAAAACACTTTCAAGGATTGACGCGAGAGGGCCCTCGGCGCGGTGCATTCATACCGGTTTGACTTTCGGTCGTGCGAAAAACGCCCAAGGGCAATCAGTCGTCCATAATCGGTGCTGACGTGAGCACGCGGTCCATTCTGTTAGGGAACTCGGAATAATTCGGCGCGGCTAGTAAATATACGGTCTATCATTGTGACGCGCATTCCTACTGGAGAGCTTCCCGGGACTTATTGTGTCTGACTCAGAACCTGCATAAGTGCATTCGGCAATATTAGATAGTGCGGCCTCTGATATTCTAGAATTAACTATTGCTACGCGAAACGGTAGTGACCTTTGACCCTTTAAACTCCGTGTGCGTTTGTGCGGTAACCATTATACCCAGCGATAGTTAGTGGCTTCTGTAAGTTAGTAAATCGTACGATAGAGTTAATTGACTGGCAACGTGACGAAAGAAGAAAGTGACTGTGGACTACCTCGAAAGGCGCCCTCAAGTTGGAGCGGTGTCGACGCTCGGGCTGCTGCCGACGGCCAAGGTCTAGGTTCAATCACCATCAGTCACACCCAGATACACACCACATCACCATTCCTTCCCTTGCACTACACAACCACATGCGACCTGACCGACTCCGGAGGGACCAGTCGCCTTGGATAGGTAAGTAAGCTTCATCCAAATTCCTTCCGGTCGACTGGCCGTAGTATAACGCTCCCCCATATATTTTAATGTAATTAGGAATTTCCACGTGGCCACATTGGGGCCCGACCTACGTCTGTTCGGGAAGTCTTCAGCTCATGGGCCCCTGAAGATTGGATCCTTTAAGGGAGCAGCCGTAGGCCGTAACAAACTGGTAGCAGAGCGCGGTTCCGGGTTCGATTCCCCGGTCGATCCCGACCATAGTGTTTGATAAACATTAAACAATTCTGGTGGCAGGGAGCGTTGGTTTGATTGGTTTAATTTGTATTTACAATCACGCCCGTCCGTAATACGTAAAAATATTTTTTTGTACGTAATAATATAATTATTTCCCTTTGTTCTTTGTTGCTTGCCTTTTTTTGGTTAGTGGGTAGATTTGAAAAGCCGCGCCCTAGGTTGCGCAAGCGGGAGTTTTCTAGAGATATACGTCATGTAGGTAGATGGTTATTTTTACGTAATCGGTTAATTATCGTTGTCGGATAGTTGTAGTGGATTACTTATCGAAGGGTCGATTTCCGAGCTAGGCATTTTTTGTTGATCGACCGTGATGTGTATCTTCGTTTATACTGTAAGTTGTATTTGAACTAAAGAGTAGTAATGGTATTTGCGCCATTTGAATTTAACTTGATTTGATCGCACTAGTATTTGTTATTTGTTAATTTGATTTGTGCCTTTTCTTTTGTGCTAACTTGTATTTGGTTGATACGTAGTAATTCGTATTTGTGTAATTTCTATTCAACGCGATTTGATAGGAACTGCATTTATTAACTGTTAATTTTTGTTGTATTTTTTGTTTGTTATCTTTGTAGTCTGTGCTCAAGCCGCGTCGTAATTTTGCATTTAATAGTGATGACATCGCCCAAGCTACTGATCCGTTGTTTGCGGACTGAGCTACGCTGGGCCACAAGCGCCCATGCTTTGATAGGTCGACCGGGTAGGGTCCATAACTTGATGAAGTGGTTCGAGCAGGTGGATGCTCGAAGGGCCGCAGTGGAGGAGGCTTACGCTGAGCTCGAGTATTCGGATGTGGAGAAGGGAGTCCTGGACTCCTGCTTCGCGGACTATGAGCAGTTCTTGTGGCTCACGGACGAGTTGATCGAGGCTGAAGTCAGGTATGCCGAGGAGGCGCGTGAAGCTCGGATGAGTGACCTGTCCGAGTCCTCTCTGAAGCAGCTTCAGCCGGAGCTGTTGGGACGACTCCCAACTCAGGACCTGCCAAAGTTCTTCGGGGTCCTTTCTGAATGGCTGACCTTCGTTGGTCTTTTCGACAGCCTAGTGGACGCCCGGAGTAACTTGACCCCGATCCAAAAGATGGTGTACCTCCTGGCCTCACTGGAGGGGGAGGCCCTGGGCGTCGTCGGCCACTTGAGATTGTCGGACGACGCCTACCAGACTGCTCGGGACCTCCTAGCCAGAAGATACGCCAACGTCCGGCGAATTGCGGACGAACATGTTAAGCAGCTTCTAAGCCTCCCGCTGCTTAGTGACCGGGACAGACTGCGTCCGGACCTGTTGGATCCAGTCTTGGTGGCCTGTAATACGTTGAGGCGGCTGGGTTTACCAGTGGGCGAATGGGCTTTTATGTTGCTCCGTATCGTGCTGTCCCGTCTACCTCTCGACTTTCGAATCCATTTTGAGGAGAGGTACGGCGGGGACGAGGCCTCCTATATTCCGCCCTTCTATGACCTGCTGCGGTTTTTGGAGGAGCAGTGCCAGCAGATAGAGAGCGCGGCGGGCACCGTTGACGACTTACGAGCCGTGCCCAGTGAGAGGCTGAATCCTCCAGGCAAGTCGTCGTCAACCCCCCCCCTGCTCCTATTGTCGAGCATCTGATCATCGGGTAACGTCGTGCCCGAAATTATTAGGTAAGCCGGTTCCAGCGAGGCGAACTATCGCCAAGGAGCGCCGCTGGTGCTACTCATGTTTGGAAGGACACCTCCAGCGAGACTGTCCGCATCGGCGGCCCTGTCTGCATTGCCAGGGCAATCATCATGCCGTTTTGTGCCTGAGTGCGAACGGCGTCTCCTCTCGGGGCTCTGCCAGGCCCTCGACCCCCACGGGCGGGGGCGCTCAGCCACGCCCTCTGCCAGGCGACTCTCGACGCCCGCCGGCCAGCCATCAGGCCCCTAAGTTTGAAAGGGGTCCCTCCCCCGACCAGTCGGGGGGTAATTCCCCCAGGGGCGGGGGTGTCATCACCCCCCCTAAGCGTGTGGAGAGGAACTTCACGGCCACTCATCGGTCCGCTGGACCCTTCTCACTACCGTTAGCTGAGTGGCCGCGACTGGTGTACCACTGTTCCCCATTTGATGGTGGCGGCCCTGGCTAGCTGCCGCCTTAGCTCCCACCACGGCCACCTACACTGAGCCTTAAGCCGTCAACAGTCCACTTGTCAAAATGTTCTGTTGCCGACGGCCTCAGTGAAGGCGTACAACTCAAGTGGCGACTGTTAGCGATCTCGGGTTCACGCCATGTGGCCTCCCCTTGGTGGTGGGAAGATTAGGGCCCCTCTGGAGCGTTGAATCACGCTGTCAAGGGTTATTAGATTTGGTTTGGTCGAGCACTTAGTCAAAAAAATACTTGAATTAAAATTAAAAATTGCTTTGGGCTTTCCGCGAAATTTTCCTATTTGTAGCGGTTTAAATTAAAAAGAATTGAATTTAATCTACTCCTTTAAATGCTACTGCATGTGTTTTGTACATATATTTAATCACTGTATTTGATTGTTGCGTCTGTTTGCTGAAAGGAAATTGAATGGCGCGCTATTTGAAAAATTATGTAACATATACATAGATAGTGTTTAATCATTTTGCTTTGCGAAGAAGTAGGGCTGTCCCTTACGTTATTGTTTTGTTTAATTTGCAAGTTGACCTATGCGCATCGGTGATTAATTTGGTTGAATTAATTCTGTAGTTGAACATTGATGCTTTTGAAAAATTAGTTGAAATATGAGCATAGGACTACTTGCCTAACAGGCTAGCTATTTTTGGAGATTATCAGATTGAAATCAGCTGCCGCACTATTTTAGTAAATGATAATATGGTGGGTGGCCTGGCTAGGCCTACTTGTTGAAAATTCAAACTAGGGACTATCTGTGCGTTTCGTTCGGCTCTTCACAGACGACGTTCATGTGGAATTTGTGGGTGCTCTCTGCACTGAAGCTTAGGAGGCCGCTCGGGGCCGCTTCGTGTCGCGTCGCTGTTTGCAGAGCTGATCCGGTCGGATTGCGGAACTAATCATAGGGGCACAGATAGGTGTTTGAAAGAGGTCGTCGGACTTCTGTCCAGTACAGGACTTGTTAAAGTGCTGCGATTCCCAGGAGGGGCGTCCAGTGGAGGCTGACCCTCCGGCTTGCCACATTAGGGCTTTTTTTTGAGGCGCTGGTTAGGGTTGCAAGATCTGATGGGGTGCCTAAGGTGGCCTAGTTTGGTTGTAGAGTCGGTCTTGCAACTTGCCTTCGCGACCTTGTCCTGCTG